GGGAGACTCACTCCCCAGCCCTACCACACCTAGGCCGTCAGTACCCCCGCCTCAGTCACAGGGCAGGACTGAAACCCAGTCTCTGTCAGGCACGGGGTGCACATGTGTGATCCCAGCAACTTGGGAGGCTGGGACAAGAGGATGGAAAGTTGGAGGCCAGCCTCAGCAGTTTAGCAAGACTGGAAACGCAGCTCAGGAGCAAAGTGGCCCTAGGTTAGATTCCCAGTACAAAACCAAAGTCTCGGCTGGAGTGGTAGCTCGCTTCCCCTCGCACTTCCCTAGCCCGCATGAGGCCGGGCTCATTCTCAGCACCACATACAAATAAGTAAAATAAAGGTCCACTGACAACTAAGAAATACTAAAAAAACCCCAAACAAAGTCCCACAGATGGCCTTCCTCAGGTCACGGCCTCGCACCTGGAGATGACAGAGCAGCCTGCTGACAGCCTGGGCAGGTCCCCAAACCCACAAGGGGGAGTTCCAGCCTCACTTTGCTCAACAGGAGGCGGAGCCCCCAGGCCCGGGCTGCCTCAGCCCCAGGGCCCCGCCCCTCCCCACCAGGTGGACAGTCCCTGCAGGGAACAGGTCAGGCCACACCTACCATAGGTCCCTCAGGAGCCACTGGGTCACCCAGGTTCTCGGCTTCACTGACTCTGGCCGCTGGCTTCACCTAGAACAGAGGTGACCCTGGGTGAAAGGTCCAGCCGCGGCAGCACAGAAGCCGAGACCCCACCAGCCAGGGGACGTCCAGGGGACGGGTCCTGTTCACCGAGTGAGCCCCAGGAGCCCTCCGGCCTCCTCCGGGGTCAAGGGGGCCCAGAGACGCGGCCGGCAGACCGAGGGCAGAGGAGGGAGCTGGAACCGCTGTGGCCGGGAGGTCCCCTCAGGAGCCTGCGGTGGAACCCGACCCCCAATCCACATGCCATCTGGAGGAGGGGTCTGGGACGTAAATAGGAACATGTGAGGTCGCCAGGGTACAGTTCCCAAGATGCATCAGTGGCTTTACAAGAACAGACTGGAGCCAGCAAGTCCGCCGTCTCGCCAGGTGAAGCCCTCTGCCACGTTCTGACCGGACACACGGTCCTGGCCAGATGTCCTGATCCTGACCCAGAATCCTAAGCCAAACAAATGTGTTTTCTGGGTTCTGGGGCTGGAACCCAGGCCCTGTGCATGCTAAC